TGTGTGTGTGTGTGTGTGTGTGTGTGTGTGTGTGTGAGGGGGGCGGGGCTGAGGTGGAAAGTGGTCGTTTATACTGGTGACTGTCTCATTTCGGTGGTCATTAGAGCGTGCTTCACTGTATTCCTATTTATCTGTTATGTAGTGTCACATTTACCCTTTATAGAACATTTAACATCAATACCTCTTCTATTTACCAGTTCTGGATGAAGTACGCCACGAAGTTAACAAAGAAAAAAAAGACGTCAAAAATTTTTTAAAAGAAAGAAAAGGTAAACTTAAGTGATTTGCCAGTTATTTAACAAATCGTTTGATTCAAAAAGCTACTTTAATGATAGATCTAGTTTTCATTCCTCATAGTTTTGAAATATGAAATAAAATTAAGTGTTGGACACCCCGTCCACGTTAAAATTACCAGCACAATAGATGAAGAGCATATGCGCGACCAATAAAGGGATTTTTTACAGTATTATATTTGATGAGAAGACACGTTTATCAATGAGATCTTGCCTTAAGCGTATACTAGTCAGATCGATAAAGCTTTCTAAAGTATTATTTACATCTTTATTAACTATAATGCACTAAGGGCACCTGAACATAAGACAGACAGACAGACAGTCAAACAAACGGATAGATAGATAGGAAGATAGATAGATAGATGGATAGATAGATAGATAGATAGATAGATAGATAGATAGATAGATAGATAGATAGATAGATAGATAGAGAGAGAGAGAGAGAGAGAGAGAATTGTTTTCGCGAGAATAGTCTGAACTATTAATTGTTCCACAATAATGTAATATAAGGCATATCCAAAGACAGGATATCTGTTATCTCGCGATCACATATAATATAGTGGTACAGCCAAGGTTAAGACATTGGCCCTAGGGTGAAAGTGAAAGAACTATTACTTACGCCTCCACAGCACGATATTTCCTGACCCGAGGGCGATCGCCTGTTGCCTTGTTCTGCCCAGCATCTGATAACAGTGTGGTGAATTGAGAGAAACAGCAATGGCGTTATTGAGTTTGAATAGACAGCAGCTTGAAGCTTATAGTAAGTTCACGATGATGGTGGCTCGATGATGATGATGATGATGATGATGATGATGATGATGATGATGATGATGATGATAGTGATGATGATGATGAGGAGGAGGAGGAGGGGGAGGAGGAGGAGGAGGAGGAGGAGGAGGAGGAGGAGGAGGAGGAGGAGGAGGAGGAGGAAGAGGAGGATGATGATGATGATGATGATGATGAGGATGATGATGATGGAAGTAGGAGTGATTAACAATTGGTAAAAAAGGCACTCTTCAGAATCTTACCCGGGGCCATTGACAAATTTCAGATAGCTCTGATGGTCCAAGGCTAGTACATCGTTGGTCGTCTGCGTCCCGTTGCCTGTTTCATTTGACCAGGGCATGAACCGCAGGCAGGTAAAACGTTGAAATGTTGACATGGCTCTCTTGATTTGGATGGCTGTAAAAAGGGAATATTTCTGAGAGTGGTTGAATACGTAAGTGAGTAGTGAGTGAGTGAATGAGTGAGTAGGAGAGAAAGAGAGAGTGAGAAAGATCGAGAGAGAGATAGAGAGAGAGGGGGGGGGGAGGAATCAATAGAGAGAGAGATAGATAGAGAGAAAGAAAGAGAGAGAAAGGTAGATTGATAGATAGAAAGATAAGTAGAGAGAAAGCGAGAGAGAAAGAGAGAGAGAGAGAGAGAGTGAGAGAGAGAGAGAGAGAGGTGAGAGAGAGGCAATGGTTAGGTACATAACTATAACAATACTCAAAGAAAGGATCTTATAATACCCATTCTTTGCATACAGCATAATATATTATGCCATTCCACCCAACAGCTGTAAACGCAGTGATATTTGTATTGTGTTAGTTGTACCTGCAGTGCAATTATCTGTTTGCATTAGTCATTAAAAAGTAGGATTCTTGATTACAAAGAACATTTCTGAAAAAAAGTTAGTGTTCGTTTGTTGTTTAAAAAAATCGCTTTAGGTCACACTGTTTTACAACAACCAACACTTACCGGAAACATTGTTTATTTCGTCTGTGAACATAAACGGGACCAGTCCTTCTGTCCACACTCGTTTTTCTTCGCTCTGGACGACTCGCTTGTTCCTTATTTTCGCGTCATTTCCTCTCTTCGTCTTCGAAGGGTCATTAGCTTGACCAGTTAAACGGTCGAGAAATCTTTTTCTTTTTCTCTCTGATCTCTTTCTCCTCTTCTCTGTCAGGATAGATTTCTGCTCCAGACTGTAAGCCTGAGCCTGGCTATCTATAGCTTCACTTCTAATTTGTGCCTGCAGAGGAGTGTCATTTAGAGTTAAAAAACAATTTCTAACAACAACTAAGCACTCATGCCATCCATTTCTCTTTTGATTATGTTTCATAATTTCATCGCTTTGAGTCAGTTATCAAAATCACTCTTTCTTTCAGTAAAAGTAAAATTTTAATCCTGATGTTTTACTATTTCAAGATATAGATATTTACAGCTACAGGTAGGGCTGATACTAAGCACGTGACATAACTCCTGATGGAGAATGACGACCTAAGTATGAGTCGATTGGGGCGTAACTCACTTACTATGTGTGGATATAGAGACTGGCATCTCATTTATGGAACACATGGTGCAAATACGTACCACAAAAAATGTTTTTGTGACTTTGTAAAAGACGACTACTAGAAAGACAATATTCCAAACTAAAGAAAGTAAGCATTTCTCTCTTCTCCCCAAATGCATTAAATTTGAACTTGATATCCGCCTATCTACTGGCTCTATACGTGATTGCGCTCCTATGTGAAGACGAAAAAAATACACTGGGAAGCAAATAATTGATTCCTTTCTTTCTGTTCAAGAACAGCTTTTGAAACGTAAACAAAAAGACACAGGAAAAACAAATAACTGAAAAAAACAAAACAAGAAGAACTGCAACAAAAACTATAACTGCAACAATAGCAACAGTTATACGAAGCTAAAACAAATCTACCAGACAATAGTGGAGCCAATGACAACATTGACAAGAAGATAATCAACATCAGATATCACAAAAGTAACAAATAAAACGTCACCACCACCTCCACCACAAATCTAATTAAACCAGTAACGCTAACATCAACAACAACAACAACAACTCGACAACAACAACAACAACAGCAACAACAACAACAACAACAACAGGACTGGCATATTAAGTGGTGTAGCGGTTAGGCTCTTCCCCGTCGCACGCATGAGACCTGAATTTGATCTTTGAGAAGAGAATTCTTCTTTTTTCAAATCAAGCGTCTCGGTACGTCTGCTGGGACGTTGTAACATCTCTCTTAGCCTAGGTTGTCCCTGACAGCTCGGGTCGATACTGGCTTTGTAAACAAATAGAATCGATGAGGGCTGAAGAATCAATATTTTAAATAAATAAAAGACAACAACAACACCAGCCTCGCCCCCAAAAAACCACCACCAACAAAAATAATCAAACAAAAACAACCCCCAAAACAACTTTAAAAGCCCCCCCCCCCCCCCCCCAAAAAAAAAAAAAAAAAGAAAAGAAAAGAAAAGAAAAAAAATGTTTAAAAAATTACAAAAAACAACAGAAAAATATAACAAACCAAAGGAAAACCGTAACAAAATCTACTCACAAACAGGCTTTGTGCGTCTGTGTTAGGGTCGGGTTCAACATCCTCCTCGTCTGGAACGTCCCTATAGAATTCTTCCAGTTCTCTCTCCCGGTGCTCAAAGGCGGCCACAAGAAGAGCGCTCAATCCTTCGTCGGCATGTTCCAGATCCTGTCACAGATCACATCTTTACTGGCAAGCAGGATACACTCAACTAGACAAAATTATATAATAAGCAGTAAGTGCTACATACTTCCGTAAATCGTTTGCTACCTTACAAGTTCGTTAAAAGTAACCAGATTGAGTCAAATGTATTTCAACTTACACTTGCTTTTTACTCTTGGGTATAGTTCCGTAATAATTTATTTATTAATTCGGTAACGTGATTTTTCCTTCGTTAACCCATTATCGTCTGAAAACGCTTGTTGTTTATGCCCGTTCAGTAAAGCTTTTTTTTTTTTTTTAAACTGCGCTGAAAACTTGTTTTAGCCTAAGTTGTCCAAAGCTTATTTAAAAATGACAAACATTCATACATTAATTTAATTTCAGCGCACAATCGTGACATTGAGCAAGAAAAAATCCCAACAAAACGAAGCCACAACTTTCAATTACAAGTCGACACACATCATTACACAACCAAACCAAACAAAAAACAAAAAAACAAACAATTTTACCCGTCTTTCCTGAACGCGTCCTTCGTCAACAGGCTCTATAACATCTTGCGAACGTTTTGATTTGCTCTGACGAGAGAAATACAAGAAAAATATACAGGATTTAATTCTGTCTGTACTGTGTTGAGAGGGAAGAAATTTACAATACACAGCCGGGTTAAGATTCAGCTGCCATTAAATCAGTTTATTTTGGCCTTAAATGAAGAAAAAACGGAAACCCTTCTTTTTGGGAGTTCAAGAGTAAAAGAATCCAATATAAAGTTGCTACCATTTGTTATTAGAGAAGTTTCTCATTTTTTTGGACCTAAAATTTTGGAACTCCTGGCCCCAGAACCTCAGAGATAATAACAAATCATAATACGTTGAAGCGATCGCTCAAGACTCATTTGGTTAAATCTTAGTTGTAGAGTGTTAGTAAGTGTTGATATGTTTTGTTTTCACTGCTGTCCTTACTAGTATATATAAACATATTATAATTATTTATATATATATATATATATATATATATATATATATATATGTATTATACATAATTAGTGTATTGTTGAGAAAGTTCTTCTTAATAATAATAACAATAATTGCATTTATATAGCGCATATCCATGCTCAAGAGTATGCTCTATACGCTTTACAACTATTATTACCCCAGCAGACCCTCTGAGAACACTCAGAAACATTCTCAATTTCAGCGGAAGCATACAGTGCAAGCTGCGGATTTCACGCGCTCAAACACTATCAAACTGACAAGATCTTTCACTGTCTATAGCCGGGTACTCATTTCTACCTGGGTGAAGTGAGGAAAATTTGTGCAAAGTGCCTTTCCCAAGGACACAACGTCGGGCCCCTGACGGGATTTGAACCCCCGACCTTACGGTTGCGAGTCCGAGAGCCTAACCACTAGGCCACCGACGCCATTCTTCACATGATTGAACTGATTTTCTTGTTAATATGAAATGTTTCATTTAGTATGAGTGAAGAATTATGCTCAGTGATCACTTTATCGATGTAAAGCGCTCTGAAGGTACCCGTGTATGGGATAGAGCGCTATATAAATGCAATCTATCATTACATTACTGCAACACGACAAAACTTTATAATGGGCTAAAACTTGGGTTTCAAGACAGAATCCGTGAAAAATGACTTAGCAACCATCAAGTATTTTTTAATGTAAAGAATAATGACCTGAACAGTGTATTCCTTTGTTTCCTATATGTCGAAGTAACTAAATTAAACGTGTTCTTAATTGAAAATGTCATTAATATGAATTGTGACATCAGAAAGATCGTTACCCAGCCCAAGTCTGGCAATTGCTTTCCAAATTTTGTTACAAAACACGGCATACACGTTCGTTAAAGGGACGGAGTTAAATATTTTAAATATCAAATAGGTTAGATGGACTGGATGGTTTCGGTGACAAACCTCGTGCTCAAGCCTTCATGGAGATGTAGACTGTCCTGTGACGTACCAACTTAAAGCTCAGACGTGAGGGTCGGAGAGGAATGGGAATGCGCAATACGAACAAACGTGTTAAGCAAGTTGGTGCCATCGCACATCGCAGTGTTCTATTAAGAATTCGTACATGTACCACTGTTATCTTTTCTAGTATGTCATTTAGGATTCGTGCCTTTGCATTATAGTTTCTATATTATGTATTGTGGTGCCTTTAATCGTTTTACTTTACATAGAAATGGTTTATTTTCGTCTTGTTTCTACTGTATATATGATAGCTGACATCGTGTATAGGTTACTTTTAATTCTTATATTCGGAATCGGAGCATTTTTATATCGTTACTTCTTTTTAAAGGTAGAGGTGTCTTCGTGTAGGGTTGCTGTTTACTTTGGACCGATGTACTTACGTGCACACTGGTGAAAGAGATGACGAGCAGGAACAACACACACAGGGATGGCTGGACATAGACACTAGGGCGATGTGGCTTCATGTTTTTAACTGCGGGGTGACAGGAAATTTAAACAACTGCAGAGGACAAAAGAAGAAGGCATTGATGACGATTTACTCCTATACCTCTTCAAGGCATCTAAGCCCTCATAGTTAAATCGGAGGTCAAGCCCTAATGAAAATGTCTTTAGTGTGACAGCCAGAATTCACACCTTTAAGTGCTCTACAACATATTCCTAATATGCTTGATACGCTGAAACGAAGATCAAAATGATAAGAACCGTGCAGTCTCAAAGGAACACAATGCTCTAACTTTGAAAACTTCCCCATGATTGATGACAAAGTATTTGAAACACATGTACTTGAGAAGTGTTCAGTGCTTTTGTTTAACAAACAAGAGAAAGAAAAGTAATGCAGTCTGATATCAAGCTGTCAATATCTTCCAAAGTTCCGTTGTCTTGGCAGATATGTAGAGGAGCTAGATTGTTTAACTCAAGACAATGATCACAAACGATGAGAGCAGCTTTACCTCCGAGAGTTGCGCTATTGTTTCAAGGATAAGCTTGTGGCATCTTGTACGTACAATGAGGCTTGAAAATGGCGATCCTTTAAACTTCAGAGTATCATCACTTTCTCTACTTGGTGTCCCTTCTGTATAAATACCGGGGATACTCTGTAACATGTGTTCGGTACCCCAGAAGTTACTCGAATAATGTATTTCTTCTTGCTCACCCTTAGTATATATAGATATTTTTCAGTTGGAGAACATGCGCGACACCATGCTTTCCCTTCTTAGAAGAATGCAATATCCCCTTTGTATTGTTATTCCTAATTATTAAAAACATTGTTAGAAATAGAGACATGACAGCATTCTTTTCAAACAACTGCTATCGTTAATACTTCCACATGCACGTATCACACATTTAATGATACAAATGTGTCTTTGCACTCTATTGTACACCTTTAAGAAAATGGCGCCTCACAATAACGCCTTTTTTTCCTAAAAGGAAATTGGTATTGGTATTTCGATTAAGCCTTAATTGTGTCTTTCTGCTTTACTAATAGAGAAATCATATTGGGGAACAGAGTTCCTCCACACATTAAATGATACTCATGTGTTTTTGTACTTTATGGTATACTTTTAAGAAAATGCTGCCTAACTAAAAAAAAAAAAAAAATCAAAAGAGATTTCGTATTGATATTCAACAAAGGGTTAATTGTGTCTTTCTTCTTTCATAACAAAGACATTATATTGAAGAACTGGGGTCCTCCTCTTTCATCATTTTATGGCTCGTTATCGCTTCTCTGATGACGTGAAGTAAAGCCATATTTCGCTCTACGTAATAATATATTTGCAGTACACGCATTTACATAATAAAAATTTGCCCGATGAACCAAGCTATGTTCATTGGAACATTGTCACTGCGAGTTGCTGTACTATACTGTTTATTTATGGCACTAAATGAGCTATTGCTAATAACAGTATAAATTTTTAT